CAGCTTCACACAAGGGCACAGGTTTGACAATAATGGGACTTGTAAGCCGGAGCTAGTGAAGCAGTGCAAGTGCAAAATTACCCCGTCCGCGTCGCCGAACTGCGCCCCTGACACCTATACTCAGCCCTCAAAAGGGTTTTCAAGGAGTGAAGTATAGGAAGGGCATGATAAAGGTGCTCAGTGAGTTATTTCACCTTCGACCCAGTTTACTTTTGTTTAGGTTGTTATATTTTTGAGCACACTTGATTTTGACATGTTCTTACCTCGAAGCGTAATTCTCCTACGGGCGCGGCCGCGTAAGGAATAGCGAGGAAGACCTCTGCAACTTCACCGCCTTTCGTGGAGTATTCAAAACCCTCAACGCGTCCTGGGCTTAGATTGAGGATTTGCGCTGACGAATACGATAGTGTGCAGGCGAGTAACAAAAGATCGACTATCATCTAAAAAAAGAAAATGATTGAAATGAAAGATTTTTCGGTCAAAAAATTAGCCCGATTTCTTCGTTGAGAGCAAAAAGAGCAGATGCATTGGAGATAATCCTAAGAAAGGGAAAACTGAAGAAGGCTGGAGGAGGACGTGGAATGGAGAATGATGAGCCGGGTAGAATAGAAACCAGGGCGCTGTTTAAGCACATGACGCGAGTGGCATTCGCACCTTCGATAGTTCCTTCGCCTGAATTTCATGCTTAACCTTCGTCAGTAACCCACTGCTCATAAATGTCCCCCCCCCGGATACTTCAGTTGGGGCAAGGTACCTTTTCTGGCAGAAACTCCATTGTGTAAGGAAGGTGGCTTGTTCGCCTAGTTGCTTGTTCGTATCTGGTCAAGACCTTGTTTGTCATATCGGGTCATGATAGAAGTTCTTCCACGTTGCGAAAAATCTTTCCGCTTACCATTTTTTCGCTTCAGATGTGTGCTATATAGCTCCTCCAGCTCGACGCCCGATTTACCGAGACAACAGGAAGATTCTCAGAAGCAAATTCAAAAATTCAAACGATTTGGAAGGAGAAGGTGGGCTAGGGCGGTAAGTGGGTTGTGAGAGGGGCCACACTGGGGTGGACATTGGTGAAAGGAGGTTTCTTAAGCCATTTTACCACTCCCAACGCTGTCCCTGTGAAAAGGTCACCTATTTTTACCCAGTAAAAGTAGGTTTCACTTAAAAGTATGCGTTCTAAGCCAAACTCTATACGCTGGCTCAGCTATCCGCTCAGTGCAAGTCCTGACGTTGAGAAAATTTTTGGAAGTGCTGCTCCTCCCGTTTCCAAAATTTCCTCGTCTGGCATGACACCTTGCCCTGTCTCCCATCCTAGCTACCATCTTCCTAAATTTCCCCTTACCGCTTCCTACTACTTCTCCAAACTTTCCCAAACAAACACGTTACCCTTTCCAGCGACTATGTACGACCCCCCCACACCTCGTTCTCTACGACTCCTGCTGCTGATCCTAATTTTTCTGCTCTACGATATTCTCAAGGGCATTTTGTTAATAAAACATTATTAAAATTATCTACTATACTAGTATAACGCTAACTGTAAGAATCAGACAAGGA